GGCCTTCAGCCCGTGAACGTCGTCAACGTGAGGAAGAATTCTTTGGCCGCGGAAAATGGCGTGCTCTTCCCAGCTCCATGTGTGGTGCCAATGCGCTCAAGCAAAAGCTGAGTGTTCAGCTGCAACGTCACATTGGTCGTCACGTTAAGACACTTCGCAAGCAGATCCAGAAGGCGCTCGACGACTGCGACTCAGAGCTCAAGTCCATGGGCACTGGAAAGGACACTGTCGAGGAGATGCGCATCGAGCTCGTTGAGCTCTTCTCCAGTTCCAAGGAACTGGTTATCCCCGCCGTCTACGGTTTCTACAAGAATCCTCCTCGCAAGAACTTCTTCCGCGCCACAGCCGACCCCCGCGGCACTCCCGCTCAGAACTTGCGTGCCCGCGCCATTGAGGAGAACGAAAAGTTCTCGCACCGTATCCGCCAGAACGGTCGCAAGTTTGGCTTCTCGTCATCCACTGCACCCGGTACCGCAGATGGTGTTACCATCAGCGACAGCAGCAAGAGAGAGTTTGTCGGTAGAGAAGTCGAGATGCTTCTGCGACAGATTCGTGGTTCCGAATTTCCAATGGATCCCAAGCCTCGCGCTGTCTACATGCTCTTCCAGAGCTACTCAGAGAACTGGCCAAAGCTCGCTCAGGAGCATAAGGACAATCTCGGCGTCGTGTGCAACGAGTTTCTCAGTGAGGTCATTGACTTCGCGTGGCCTCAGCGTATGCGCGAGCCCCTGCGCTACCAATTCCTCGATGTTCAGATGAAAAAGCTGCTGGCCGACGCACAGGTCGAGCTTGAGCACCTAACGCAAGACATGAACCTCGAAATCCAGCCGTACGACCCCGAATACGAGGAGCGTCTTCGCAAGTGGCAGATCGAGACTACTAAGGATGGTGCCACCTACACCGAGGCGCAGGAAGTCTGCGAGAAGATGTTGATTTTCTACGAGCTTGCGGCCAAGACCTTCATCCGCAACACCATTACGCAGGTCGTCGAGAGACATTTGCTGCAGGGCATGTACAGCATCTTCAACTCTGTTGAGATTCTCGGCATGCCTGCCGAGACGGTCGAAGCTATCGCCGCCGAGAACAAGGAGACGCGCGATCGCAGAATGACGCTCAAGACGCAGAAGACTGCGATCGAGGAGGCCCGCGACATTTGCGCCAGCTTAGCCATGCGCAAGGAGCTGAGAATGGTAAGCCACATCTGTTTTTCCTCATCACAATCGACAATGCTAACAACTAACTCACAGTATGCCGATGAAGACCGCGATCTAGAGGACAACAGCTCCGATTCAGACGAAGATAAGCCAAAGCAGACAACTACGCGCAAGCCTGTCAGCAACAATGCCAGCCCGAGCCGCGAAACAACTCACCGCTCAACACGCTCCCGCGACGAGCGCGAGGAGCGTCCCTCAGCGAGAACACAACCCACTGAGTCAGTGACGAACGGCTACTCCTATGGCGGCCACCAAGCGCCGGCCCAGGCTCCTCCCGTCCCGACATCGCGACCGGAGCGCGCCGAGCCCGCTCGGACAAACACAAGCACGTCCCAGTGGGAAGATGAAGAGTACTACAGAGCTCCTTCCTCCCAACAGGCCTCCGCGCCGGCCCAGGCACCTCCCCCGCCTCCTCGTCCCCAGAAGCTGAGACCCGAGGATGCGGCGTCGGATGCGTATAGCCACCGCTCGCAGTCTTCGATTTCGGAGCAGCAGCATGCTAATGGTTACGGAGGGTATTATGACGCCAATGAGCATGCGCCCTCGTCTACGAGACGTGTGACTGCCAAGAAGCTGTTTGGTAGAGGTTAAAACGGAAGAGTAGACCGAGAGACAGGCCTCAGTTTGAGCACGGGATTCTAAATTTAGCGATACGATCTGTTGGCGTTTAGAGTAGGATGATCCGATTTCCCATTTTGGGTAGACAGTGGTCTCTGAGATAGAGGGACATTGGATGGAAACTTGCCAGGTGCAATGGCTTGGATTTGGATAGCACTTGATACCATTTCTATAGAATTATACACAATATCAATCGAACACGTACCTTTGCAAACGTGATTTATGAGCCCTAAGAAAGCAATCTGGAGTGAAAGGGAAGACCTGACGCCTTGCGACACTGCGATTAAAACCATGTCACGTAGCGAGCATGCACATTTTTTGTCCGACAACACTTGAGAGAAGGACGCAAACTCGGAGCCTTTCCGGTAAGCTCAAGACAGGACGAAAATCGCATCGCTCTGTCATATCGAGCAGACAATGACAGGTACAATCACAGGGGAATTTTATCGTTGGTTCATTGGTCATCAATTGTCATTATAGTATACATCTAACATGCTTTTCCCAAACCTTTATTCAATGCAATATTTCCATCCGTCCATGCTTCGAGACTCTTACTCCTGGGCAATCTTCAAGACAGCCTTGCCAAAGTTCTGGCCGGTAAGCATGCCAATGAAGCCCTCAGCAGCCTGGTCAATGCTATCCGTCTGGTGGATCTTGACCTTGAGCTCGCCGTTGGCAATCATGGGCTGAACCTTCTCCTGGAAAGGCTTGTACTTCTCGGGCGAGAGGTTAACGAGGAAGCCCTGGAAGGAGAGCTTCTTGGCGACGAGGTGGAAGAGGCCGCGGACGCCCTTCTGCTGCTCGCGCGGGGTGTTGTAGTCGGAGATCATGCCGCAGCCGATGATGCGGCCCTGCTGGTTGAAGGACTCGAGGGCGGCCTCGAGGTGGTCGCCGCCAACGTTCTCAAAGTACATGTCGATACCCTGGGGCGCGAGGCGCTTGAGGGCGTCGTGAGGGGACTCGGTCTTGTAGTTGAAGCCGGCGTCGAAGCCGAGCTCGTTGATGATGAAGTCGAGCTTCTCGTCGCTGCCGACAGAGCCAATGACCTTGACGCCCTCAGCCTTGGCGAGCTGGCCGACAATCTGGCCGACGGCACCGGCAGCGGAGGAGACGAAGATGGTCTCACCCTTCTTAGGCTTACCGATGTCGTAGAAACCCTCGTAGGCGGTCATACCGGGCATGCCGAGAGCGCCGACGAAGAGGGGAAGGTCGACGTTGTGGGTGTTGGGGACCTTGAAGAAGCCGGGGAGGAACTTGGCGGGGATCGCGGCGTACTCGGCGTTGGGGCCCATGAAGGAGGTGACGAGGTCGCCGGCGGCGAACTGGGGAGCATCGGAGCGCTCGACGCGGGCGACGATGGAGGAGGCGATGACGGCGCCCTGCTCAAAGGGAGGAATGTAGGACTTGCCGGCCTCGGCGGGGCGCATGCGACCGCGCATGTAGGGGTCGAAGGAAGAGTAGAGGACCTTGATGAGGATGCCGCCGTTGAGGTCCTGCTCGAGGTCGATGGGGCGATCCTCGGTGACGAGGTCCTGGCCGGCGACAGGCAGGCCCTTGGGGACCTGCTTGAAGATGAAAGACTTGTTGGGAGTAGGAGCCATTGTAAAAGTGTTTCAATAGTGAGTGTCTAAGTGGCGGGATATCAAGAAAGGGAATATGTAGTGGATTGAATATATAGGGAAGAGATGTAAGTGATTCTTTCAAACTTCGACCGGAAACTATGGGATGATCTTGGTGTTAAATATATCGTAGAAACCATCTGCTCCATATCATGACGAATCCCGTCAAAGGGTCCATCGGGCCCGCGCCGGGTCCGACCCTGTGATCCGCTTGGAACGGTTCAATGTTCAGCTCCCCTCAAGCTTCCTGGTGAACACGGGGCGACGGAAGGCATTGGAAACGGCAACGTCATGATGGAAGAACTGCCAGGAGGGGCATCCACTTTGCTTGTTCGACCGGTGGAGTTTCTTCGACAGCCCGGGGGTCGCCGGCATTGGCCATGCCCAATAAACCGTGTTTTGTGAGGTGGTTCCTGGAAAAAGGATAGCGGAATTGTCAAACGGGACTTGGCCGCTGTTGTCCCCACGGACCCTTTCTTTTGATCTGTCAGCAGCAGCACTTAAACATGGACGCTAGATTTTTTCTTCCTTTCCATTTGCCCCTCCATCTTTTCTTGGTCAAATATGCCGCGGTTCATGGTGGGGCACATCCCTCTTTGAGATGCGGAAACACGTACCAGATATCGCTTGGGTAGGCGGTGTGTCTGAGAGGCCCAATCAAGCTCATCGATGTCACCATAAAGGCCATTAGAGGCCAGGGCCTCCCAGACTCTCTGATCTGCGGTCAAGATCGCTTCGTCAATCGACGTGGTCGTATGTAGACTTTGACTTGCACAGCTCCCGCCATTGTTGTTTGGTGGGCCCGTCTTGCTGTATCGTTCTTCTTGCTTCGAGGAATTGATGATTCAACGGGATGGCCTCGGCCTCAGGAAACTCGAGTCAGGGTGAGGCCCATCACTGACTAGTCCTGACCCAATCTTGCTCGAAGTCGCCTCTCCGTTCTCCAAAACGTGCCATAAAAAAAATCTCTACCCCGTACCAATGAAGCAATGATGACAAAGCACAAGCTCAATGCCGTTATTGTTCTGGCGCTCAACCACCCGGAGCTGGCTGCCCCTTTCGGTGGAGGAGGGCCCCGATAAAGTAAGAACAGCGCAGAAAACATCGGTAGTCGCCTGAGCCGTGCCGGTTGCCAGGTCCGCGGGGCGGGAGGCCGAGGTTTGGTGTACCGTACGGAGCTGCCAACTGGGTAATTCGTAGCATCATGGGTATCCGCAACGAGTCTGGACCACGTCTGCTGGGTGACAGGAGCCGAGGTTCGTTTCGCACTTTGTTGATGGATAGCAACGGGATTCTGGCGAGGAAAACGGGGTCCGGGGCAATTGTTGGCTTGTTGCTATGTTCGGTTGAATGATTGCCCCAGCGTCGAGGAGCTTCGACCCAGCTCTCACTTCGTGATGGGATTTCTGATTTCAAAGCCAAATTTCCGCTGGAATTCCACTCCTTGCGTTGTACTCCGTACTCACACGGGAGGCCCCTCCCTCCGCATCGTCGATCATTCATTGATTGTTCTCGAAGTCTCGAAATCTCCGATGACCCTCAAGCGCAGCTAAGCATCGGTGACTGGATGCAAGTGCTTCACTAGCATCCTCGCCTGGCCTCGGACTGTCGCCGCTTCTCGCACTTCCCGTTTCTCGGGCGCGGTATCCGCTGTGATTGTAACCAGTTGGACACCTTTGCGGCCATCGTCAACCCAGAACTCCTCGTAGCCCGTCGCTTCGAAGCCCATTTTCTCAAAGCATCTTCGTCCTTCTGGCGTTGCTGTAAGTGCTGCCAAAATGTCAGATCACATCGATATCTCCCTCCCACAATGGATGTCAATCGAAAGCCTGTAACGCCAGCATGGCCAGCCACCACGAATCACTTACCTGAATAGCCGATGATCGACCATCTCTTCCTCTCTGCCGCAGCTACGACAGCCTGCATCGAGGTCTCGGCGAATCCTCGCACCTTACCCCGCGCCTCAGGCACATCGAACCTCTCGACATGAAAGACGTGCAGCCCGACCTCTGGATGCTCAGCACCATCGCGAGGAAACATAGTCCCGGCATCCACATCCACTTCCTTGACCTCGCCCGCCAGCAAATCCCGCCACGCAGGTGCCAGTATCGGGAGTGCAATGACGGCTCCGACGAGTGTCTGGGTGTCGTCGTTCTCCACGGCGTCGGCAGAGAGGTAGAAGCAAATGGCCAGCTCGGGCGCTGCAGTCGTCCAGCTCCGGAGGCGGTCCCAGGTCAGCGGCGCGGGGTACATGTCTTGGTCGGACGCGAAGATGCCCCTCAGGACTTCGTTGGTCATTGGACCCTGGTTCAGAGCAAGAGCTGGTGCTGATGCTGGCATTTCGGCGGTCTTTTGATCCGGCTTTGATAGGAGCTGTGATGGAAAGAAATCGCGACGAGGTAGTTTGTGGTCGTTGGAGTGTGGAAGTTTCAAGATTTCAATCATGAAATTTGGATTGTGGTGTTGGACAGCACTTCCTTCCTCTGGCCTTCTCTTTGAGGGTGATATGGTGCTGGGTCGCTCTTGGAAAGCGCTGAAGAAGCTACGCTGCAGGTGTTCCCCACCCTACAGCGTGCAAGCTGAGCCCCAGCACAATTCACTTACACCAAGGTCTCTCTAAAGGCACCACTCACAATCACCACCTGATCGTTACAGCCTTGAGTGGCCTTTTTGGCGCCATGCTCTATTCTCACGACTTTTGTTATCGTTACATGACGTTATTCCCATGTACCCCATACCCTGAGGCCATCCAATGCCACTCTCTTGCACTGCCGACTTTTTGTTGTGCTCATGTGTAAATGCAAAAGCCTGGTGTCGATGTAGTGCCTCGAGGACTCCTTTCCTTGGTATCCTCCTAGCACTGTCAGACGAGAAACATTGCTGTGCAAAGTCGAGCTGCTTCCTCTCTTGATTGCATAAGGGCCAACGACTAAGCTTCGTCGCCAAAATCAAACATTGCGAGAGGGTCAGGACCACGAGAGATCCAGCGGATCTCACCAGTCAGAGGATCCATGATGCACATGAAGTGAGTCGAGTCATTGGTGGTAGGATAGCTAGCGATCCATTCACGGAGTTTGGCCTCGTCAACGCCAGTCATCTCGCCAGATTTGCTGGCTTCAGCATCAAGCTCAAGACCCGTGCAGCAACTATTCTGCTTGGCCCAGGTGATGTCATTTCCATTGGTGATAGCACGGACATGTTCAATCCACTTGTCGTGGAAGGCATTCTGACGATCCGCAGACACCTCGATCCAGTCCTCAGATTCCATGAGCTTTGCCTGGACAGGGTCGGCGCCGTGGCGTACAGTCATGCGGCCACAGCAGCGTCGATGGTCAGGGTCGTGGTTGCACTGAATCTGGAAGACACTGCTCGTCTTGATCTTGCCGTCATAAAGGTCCTTGAGGATGTTCACTACCTCTCTTCCATCGCAGAGGGTCAGGTAGCAGGGCGACGCGTCGGAAGAGGCAAGCTTCTTGCCGATGGACGTGATGGGAGCGAGCTTTCTGCTGTCCTCACGGGGGTTTGGGTCCTTGGTATCATAGGCCTTGGTATTCTTGAAGGAAATATCCTCTTTGAGGATGATGCGGCGGAGCATTGAGGGAACGGACTCGCGCAAGCCGAATAGGACCTTAATTTGGTGCCTAAGAAGGCTGCCCGAACCACACTAATGGTTTGGGCGGAAGTTGAGAGAGACGGATAGACCTTTGCTAAGATAATTATTAGCCCATATCAGTCCTCAATGGAAATCTAAGTGCAGCTTACCGGACACCAGTCAGCATGCCGACAAAGCCAGCATAGGTGACTGATCTGGCAATCACCTCATTCGAGCCATTGTTCGTGTCGACATACTCAATGATGACAAGGATATCACGCAGGATATCCATGCCCCACTGCGATGAGTCGTTAGTGCTAGATATTTTTTGTTTGGAAAGGGATATAGCCATACCTCAAGAGTGCGAAAGTGCATCAGATGGTCAGGATTACCGCCGCCAATCTTGCGCTTGGAGTCATTTTTGACCAAGGCAGCTCCAGATGTACATCCAAGCATCAGGTCAAGAAAGGTGTTGAGGGCCATGAGCTGGTGAACGGGGATGCCAGCAACCTCAGCGATGGACTTGATCTCCTTGGTCTGCTCAGGGTCAAAGACCTTACGGAGGGTGAACCGGGAAGTGAACTTGGCAAATCCAGACATGCCCCGAGGTACGGTCGCCTCAATCACCTCGTCAAAGAGAGGGCTCACTTCTCTTATCTTGGGAGCAAGATCCTTGGCGAGCTCAATGTAGCGCTCTTCAGCAGGCTTGCCCATGTCGACCTTGTAGATTGGTATATCATCAGGCTTGAGTGTGAGCATGGTCTGGAAGGCAGCGTGATTCTCATGAAGTGTGCCTTGCAGAGGGTCAAAAGGCTTGGAAGGCTTGATGACACTGTGATCCATGTCGGAGCCAGACTCGAGCATCACCTTGGATGGAGCCGCCATTGTGGCAAGGGTTTGGGGGTGAATAATGAGATTTGCTGAACGTTTCAGATTACTTTGGGACGCAGGAGATGAAGAAATGAAAGGAGGTCTTACTGTGATGATGATGATATGAATCGCTGATCAGACCTGGGCCTTGTCTTTTGGGTCGATGCTATTATTGATAAAAGATGTAATGTTGCATGTGATGACGACAACGTGAGAAGAAAGCCAAAAGAGCTCTTCTCACGCGATGCCAGTAGTGTTGAATAGGTATCTTTGAAGAATATTCTGGTGTTTGGGTTGGGTATCACAGAGAAGGGGAGTGCGTAAAGTGGTGGAAAGGTGTGGTGAAGGGAAAAGATAGGGTGCCCAAGCAGGCGGCGATATGGGCTTTCGAATGGGTGCAGGTCCAAGGTGAGTACGGGAAGGGGCGTTTGAGAGCGAAGTTGTTTGACGTGCCTTCCAGATGTAATTGGGGTTTCAAAATCATTCAGGAATGCAGGAGCAACCAGGTCAATGTGTCTAAGCCTCCTTCTTTTTCAACGAGAAGAAAAAGTATAACGACTATTTCATCTACCTAGGTATCTGAATCCTCAATTAGAATGAGTCAGTTTCCTGAGTTGGGATGTGCCAAAGACTCCTTTGGGAATTCGCTGAGAAATCAATCTGAGAAACCAGGTGTGGGGAATAATGTAGTTTCGAGGGACAAGACGGCGGTCAAGATGAAGAGAGACTCAGATAAATCCTCAGACTTCTATCAAAAGACAATATTATCAAGACATTACGGTGCTTCCTGAGGCTTCGCTCACTATTCCTGAAGTACAAAGCTCATCTCACGCATCATGGGGAGAGTAGAAGAAAGCGCCAGTTTCATTATTATTCAATGTAATTACGAGCGAATTCTAGTCTACCTCGCCCCTTGTCCAAATTATGTATAGTTCAGCGGTCCTTTCATAAGGACCCCATCGTAAGCGGTGCCAGCATACACATGCTTCGGCACCATGTAGACTCTAGCGCAGAATTCTATAAGCGCCGTCTATCTCGTCTCTCTCTCCATCGTAACAGCCATACTACCCTTGGGCCGCAGGGTAAAGTTGGGATTGGCAAGCTCTACCACGCCAGTATATCCGGGACGTGGCGAGAACTTGAAGTTCCGCACGAGAGCAAAGATTACGCTCTTAACGTTCAGCAAAGCCATGTTCTTAGCGATGCAGCCTGCCGGGCCCTGGAGGAACGACTCCATGGCGTACGAGTCCTTGGATGCACGGCCGTCGGACCAGCGATCGGGGTCGAAGATATCGGCGGTCTCACCCCATACAAGGGGGTTGAAGTGTGCCACAGCCGGGCAGAGAGTCACTTGTGTCCCCTTGGGAACGAAGGTCCCGCATACTGTGACGTCTTCTGCTGCCTCACGAGGGAGGAAGATTCCTATTCATGAATCTGGTCAGCAAATCGAACCCGAAGTATGTAGGTTCGATAAGGCTTACCAGGGGAGTAAAAGCGCAGCATCTCCTTGAGAAAGTTGTTGACGTAGACCAAATGTTCGGTTTCCTCGTAGGTCGGATTCCAGTCTCGAGGCTTGCCGGCGCAGAGACCGAGGACTTCTTGCTTGAGGCGCTCCTGCACCTTGGACTCCGTGGCAAGGATATGGGCAATCCACATGGTGATAGATCCAGTAGTTTCGTGGCCTATAACGTAGGGTTAGCGTACATCTTTGGCTGTTCACATTGTGTCTTGTCATACCTCCGGCGATGAAGTTTAGCATCTGTTCATGAAATGTCAGCACACATCAAAGCATCGGGATCACAGGTCTCCGTACGTATTCCAGAAGCTCCAGGTCAGTCCAATTGGTCTGAGTATTGTCAAACTGGCAATCTTCCAAGATGAAGGTCAAGATATCGCGATGCTCAGTTATCTTCTCACTGAGACCAAGCTTCTTCTCAGCAATCATCTCAGCACGGCGGTTCTCAACGCAGGTGAGGAGCATTGTCCGAATCAGGGCAACATCCTTCAGCCATCTCTTGTTGCTAGGAAGAGGGAGCCAAGAACGGACAGGGATATGGCCATCGATGAAGGTGAGAACGTGGCCGGAAGGAGGCTGGCGGATAATGCGCTCGTACACGTCGTAGAAGTGGGCTTCAGGGATGGAGATGCCGTCGAGATCACAGCCGATGGAGCCAATGACGAAGACGTCGAGAGTTGCTTTTCGGATGTAGGGTTCGACTTGAGACAGAAGTCAGCATCAATTAGTCAGGAAAAGACAGTACTTTAGCATACCATCAACAAGCTTGACATCCTCTCCACCCATGTTTCGGAAGATTGCTTCACACATCTGATTGGCTTTGAGCTGGAAGACTGGCAGCATCGTGCGCGTATTTTGGTTTGAGAACGCCCCTATGTAGCAATGTCAGTAAAAGTAACGTGAATAAAGCAAGGGGTAACTTGAAATGAAGGAACTCACGGTTCAACTGGGTTCGCTGCTTCTTTCTCTCCTCGCCCTCTGAGAACATGAGTCCATGTCCGGTGATGGGGGAGAACATGCGTGCTGCCAACTGTGACTTTCGGAATGAGAATGCCTTCGTCTGTTGAACCTCTTTAAAAGCCGCCAGACTGTTGACCATGAGAGTCTCAGCATTGAACATAGAGAGGTAGCGCACAAAAGGCGCGTCGGGCCATCGCTTTGTCCAAGATATGAAGATATCGGCTGGCCCCGGGGTTCTGATCTGATTGAGCATCTGACCAATCAGGAAATGACCGCCCTATAAGCTTCGTGAATCAGCGCTTCTGCAATATCTCATATCTTTCAAGTGGTCGTGTCGATCTTTCCGTTGTGTATGTGAGCAAAGTTGGCACTCCTTACCTTTGGTCCTGGAAGGTGCCGCAGCGGTGAGAGGAAGAAAGGATAGAGGAAAGCATTATATCCTAAGAGAAAAGTACATTGCAAGGTGAATGAAGTCAAGAAGATCTTGAATGCAGTAGAAAGATCCAGGTACAAGAATCTGATGCCAATAGTTGCAAGTAGAAGCGATATGCCTGTGCAGAGCTTCAAAGCCATGGTTCGAGGGCAAGGGGCAAGAACAAGGATGGCGTAACGTCCAGGTCGGAAGGAGAGATAATAGTGAAGAGATTAATGATGAACTAAGATCAAGGTTAAGAAGAGTTGATACCAGTTCCCTCAACGAAAACTGGATGGGTTGGGTAGAAAGGGAGGCGAGGGTGAAAAGGCGAAGTGGGTGGAAAGGCGGAAAGGTGAAGCCTGTAGATTGGAAGTCGAATTGTGCTCTTTTGTAAACGTCTAGAGTTCCCAAAAGATCGGACGACATTCCTTGAGAAGGAGCGAATGTCCATCTTTAAGGAAGGAATACCAAAATCCAGAGGGAAAAAAAGCAAGCCATTGTCGATATTCCACCTTTCACCTTTGATTCCATTTTCTACCGGGCCTTGGACCCGCCAAACATGTCACCCAAAGGGATTTCTTCCTAGACCGAATCTGCAACTTCGATGCTTACCCCCCATAAAGCCATCACAATCCTTCGCCAGGGGTGTTCCAAGCCATGTCCGGACCAACGGTATCGAAGACAAGACAGGCAAACAATTCCCACCCAAGTCAAAACGCCACCAACTGCAACTTCCAACAATGTTTGACAGGATGACCCTGGCCCGGCATCTGCACTTCTTTGATCACAAGACAACGACAATTCAAGTCTTGTTGTAACACAGAAATCAAGCCACTGGATCTGCATGTCCGGAAAGACATGAGTGCTTCTTTCGCTGTTTACATCCCTGTCGACGAGGGCCTGACGTGAATGAGGGGTGGGGGAGCGGGTGTAAGAGAGAATCTCAGGATTTTCAAGCGTGAGACTGATCCTTGCTCCCGCATGGCTGACGCCCACGCTAGGAGAGCCGATCCGCAAAACTCCCACGAGAATGTAAGCAATGTCTAGTGCAAGGGGGGTTAAAAGGAAGCATATGCGCCAAGAGGGCAAACAAACTCTTCTTCCACGACTGCCTTGACAGAGATTATGCCGCTGACCATTGAACTCATTAGGATTGTGCCGTTGAAGCGGGGTAGGTGAAAAGAGCTGCCAACGCCCGCTGGAAAGCATAGCTTTTGTAACAGGGTAAAGGCCATATGGCATACAATGTGCGCCGGCCACAGCGGATGCTGCCGCGAGGTTACACGGGTCCCGGATCTTTGGAACAAGGCACCCCCTTCTCTCGGCAACTCGTTCTCCAGGTCGAATAAGACAACAGAGATTGCGTCTGCCTACAGAGACACCTGAAATCAAGACGTGCCGATTCGCCTTATGCCAACTTTTGAAAGTTCCCGACCATCCAATCATTCTGGGGTGGAGACAGTGAGAGAGAAAACAAGGGAAACTATTGATGTCGGCGTAACAAGTTGGGAAGTCCTTGCGAGTTGGCTGTTTTCTTGGCCTCTTGAGCGGTTGGCTGTTGGGTAGACGCCTGTCCCGTTCCATCCCCCCACCTCCCAGCGCGGACTCGGGTTCTTGCTCCTCGAGGCCTGCCCTGCAAGACGGGTTATTGCTGCATCTTCATTTTCGAGATGCACCCGCAGTGCATGCTCTGCTCGAGATGAAGTAAATCTCATGCATACTTTGAGATGTTCCAAGGCTGAATGGATTATTTCGGCTCGCGATTGGTGGATATATATGTGCTCTCCCCTGACTTTCCTGTGTGACAAAGCCGACATGGACAGATGCCTCCGTGTTACGGAGATATTTCAAGGGGGCATGTGTGATTCGGTGTTGCAGACAGTGCTTCCGTCGAAACTGCCCTGCCTGGCAAGGATAGTCTGCCAGATCTGGGTTCTGGATACCGATATATCGCTCGCTCATGCTGGGTGACTGTGTGTCGGTTCCCATGAACCTGTTTCTGTTTCTGATCCAGCGGAGTATCTGCGATCGATCGTACAGAGATCTATCCACCAGAGGACCCAGAATTTCGGCCGTCTTCGATTCCCGAGAATCGCTTACACAAATTGGGTGGCTGAAACTCGGCCAATGGGGACTCATGTAGTTGACTTCCGCGAGCCCTGTACGATCGCACCCTGACACGGCGCTTCGAGGCCAGTGTGGGCTGTTTTGCTGTTTCTCATGAGTAAAATTGAGGCAAGATGGAGGCGATCTGCGATTGTATTGCTTCTTTGGCGACTGAGTTTTCTGAAGATGTCGGGTCGGGGATTCTCTGACGTCCGGTGTTATGGTGTAGTAGGTTTGTGATGGGAGCACAGTAAACCACATACAATGATGGAAAAGGAGTCAAGACTCAAGAATCTCGTACAGAACTGTAGGACTATCTCAGTGAGTTGTGAGAGGTAGTCAGTTACCCTCTCAAGCCATAGAGAAAATCGCAAGTCGTACAAAAAAGGGGGAAGCTCGTCAGAGATTACAGGCTGTCTCAGCTTCAACCACTCTCAAGATCTCAGATGTCTCTCTTCCTGCCAATCGGGTGACAGAATAGAATCCTAGTCAACAAGATTTGCACGCCCTCTTACCTGATCTTGTTCTTTCCTTTTTTGATTCTTTCTGCTATCACTTTTTCTTCTACATATCCATTGAAGAATGCTCTTCAAAGACAGAAAAGGGATCGGGTTCATAGAAATAGGGTTCATAGAAATAGAGAAAAAAAGAACAGTGACAATAAAGTAGACACAATAGGAAAAGAGCCAAAGAGTGTACCTATAGAGCGGCAAGCAATCTTGTCACGCGCTTGCGTGCACCTCCAACCCCCCTTTTACACCCCAGCTAGGTAGCCCCGGAGTGGATGCAGATTGTCATCAGAGATTACTGAACCCCTCGGTGTGAGATGTGACACAAGACACTATGAGCGTAATCTGGGTCTACCCAGGAGCCTGGCTGCTAGATCGGTCGTGTGCGAGTAACTGTCCCTAGATGGCTGATCGTCAGACGTGAGCTGTTATTTTTGGGTTTGCTAGTTAAGCTTGTTAGACATGAGATGAACGGACTATCGATCCTGTCCTTGTTGACTCAAATAAGGAAGTTATACGTACTGGCACTAGGAGGCTTTGAATGTGTACAGAGATTCTGTCTGGCGAGAGTGGTCAGGAGGAGCTGAAATACTGGCCAAGTACGCATCTGTGAAGCTCTCTTAGCTCAGGCATTGACAAGGACCGTATTTTTCTCTGGAGGTTTGTCAATCTTCAGCTCGCTTACCAAGAACATATGGTGAAGCATGGCTTTCTTGTCAGTTGTATGATGTTTTCCTGCCCTGAATTGAAAAGCATTCTCCCGCATCACTCCTCAAGTTCTGAGGCTAATCCATTACCTCGTCGCACAAGTTGCCAGCATTGCTTGCCATGAATGCTTGCGTGGTGGCATCACTGATCATAGGTAATAACTGCATGATGAGACTTAGGGGACCACCGATGCTTGTAAAAGATATTCAAAATCTGGATGAAGCAACGTGAACCTCGAAATCTGTCGAGAGCAAAAGAAACTTCTGGACAGCAATCTTCGGGTTGCAGATACCGGAAAGCTTACTTTAGTTGCTGTCGTCGGCATTGGTGTCTGCGTCGCTGCAGTTATTCGGGACTCAGACAACTCAAGAGTATCTCTTGAGTAAACAATTATTACCACTCAACTCAATTAAACACTGGCTCTCAGTTTTTGATAAGGTAGCAAACAGTCCAGCTACGCGATTGCACCTAAACTTCAACACAAACTGACACTACAAAACTGTCACATTTACAACGCCAGACAGGAAAATACACCGACCAAACTGTTCCCAAAGACTCCTCGTTGCTGCTGCGACAAAAGCAACGAAGTTGTCTCTTATCCACAACCGACCCACATTCTTCACTCATCTTCAAGACTGAAGAAAGCATATCGCACCCAAAAGGCTTAACCTCGGCAAAACCAAAAAGCCCACCTACCAAACGGCCGAGACATCGGCGCCCGAGCACCACCTCGGATTGCCGATGTTATCCGAGTCAGCATGCCGCCAGCTCTCCGAGCCGAAGCCAAACTCACGTCCGAGGCCATGTAGCCAGCACGACCGCTAATTGGTTTGTCAAGTCCCCAGATGCCCCACGCTTGAGGCGAGGCTGAGAACTTCATGAGAATGATGCCGTTTCGTTCGGCGCAAGGCTATATGTACTCCGAGCAACGTCGGTGATAGTAGATACCTGATGACAATGCGAAACTGGTTCGAGGGAACACGAGTCGTCGAATAGCAGCGCGGGCATTCGTCATCAATAGATAATGGACTAAGTTTAGAATCTGGGGCGATTGTCACCTTGAACATATAAAAGAGAGCACATGGGGCCAGTGGAGCTTGGTAAGGTCTTGTTCAAACAACGAAAAAGGAACTCATATGCTTTGCGTGACTCCTATGCTACGTACAACTGGTACAACTACAATCTCCCAGCAAGACCGAGCCTTCCTCCCAGTGTCCAAAACAGAAATCTATTCCTCCGCTTGTTTATGCAATTCGACCGCGTCGGTGGTATCTATCTCCGTCCCAGTCTCGCCTCATTTCGAGTCTAATCGCGTTGTCGGGGGAAAAGGTAGGTAAATAGGGGGTCGTTTTGAGGAAGGTGGGAAGCCGCCCGCTGTGGTTGGTTTATCGTATAGCTACAGGGATGGTGGTTTGTGTGTCTGTAGCTGTATTTACAAGGTATCCATCTTGTCGAGGATGGCCTTGGTGAACTGGTGGGTGGTGGCCTCACCGCCCATGTCACGGGTGCGGACCTGGCTGTTGGGTTGTTAGCAGCTATTCTCATTGCAATCCCAGGAGAGACGAAAGAACTTACCCCTCGGCAATGACGCCGTAGATGGCCTGGGAAATGCGGTTGGCGTGGTCATCGAGACCAAGGTGACGGAGAAGCATGGCACCGGACAGAATCAGAGCAGTGGGGTTGGCCTGGTCCTTGCCCTTGATGTCGAGGCCGACGTGACGGCAACCGGGCTCGAAGACAGCAACATCACGGCCCATGTTGCAACCGGGGACGATACCAGCACCACCGACAAGGGCAGCGCCGATGTTGGACAGAATGCCACCGTACAGGTTAGGCATGACCATGACATCGAACTGCTGGGGCTTGCTAACAGCCTGCATGGAGGCGTTGTCGACAATCATGTCGTTGACCTCGAGGGTGGGGTAGTCGTTGGCGACACGGTGGAAGGTGGAGCGGAAGAGACCGTCAGCCAACTTCATGATGTTGGCCTTGTGAATGCAGGTGACCTTCTTGCGGTTGTTGGCCAGAGCGAAGTTGAAGGCGAACTTGGCGATGCGCTCAGACTTGGCGCGGGTGATGATCTTGAGGGACTCGACGACACCGGGGACGGACTGGTGCTCAAGGCCAGAGTACTCACCCTCGGTGTTCTCACGGATGATGGCGAGGTCGACACCCTCATGGCGGGTCTGGTAGCCGGGAATGTTCTTGATGAGGGAGATGGAGGCGTAGATGTCGAGCTCCTGGCGCATGGCGACGTTGAAGGACTGGTGGCCGGAACGCTCAATGGGAGTGTGAAGGATACCCTTGAGGCCGAGCTTGTTGCGGCGAAGGGAGGCGACGGACTCGCGGAAGAGATCCTCAGTCTTCTCGGGGGTGGTGGTGTTGAGACCAGAGACCTCGACCTGCTCCCACTCAATGGGGACGTTGTCGGCCTTGAAGATGGTCTTGACGCTCTCGGCGACCTCGGCACCGATACCGTCACCAGGGATCAACGTGACCGTGTACTTGCCGCCAAACTTGGTGGGCTTGAAGATGTCAGAGCCGACCGTGGCGTAGGCGCGCGCGGGCTGCGCGGTGCGCAGAATCTGCGTGGGGGAGGATTGTTAGCCATTTGTCCGTGGGTTATCGTGACATATCTGGCTGCATGTGTGGCCATTTTCTGGTGGTCGTGTGCTTTGTGTGCTTGTGAATATGTCTGCTTCTCGTGTATTCCTTTCAAAAACTTTCATCCTGGCCGACGTCGTCATGTTCTCTGCGTCATCTACCAGGTCGCAATTTGGTGCTTGTTGTTGTTGTTTCTCCCCCTCTTACATCGCAGCCTTGCCTCTGCGATCACGATGCACAGACACACACCGAGAAAAAAACCACGTCGCGGCTTGCACAGCAGAAAAGGGACTCAATTGAGAGTTGGCAAAGAGGCGACGTACCTGCGCAGTGCGGGCGGATCCTCGGGAAAGCATCGTGACGGTCGTTGGTGCCTCGTGAGGGTATTCGCGGAGCAATAGATGTTGTTCGGGATCGGAGGAGTTGGGGAGTGGAAGAATTCAGAAAAAGAGTGGAATTCGAGAAAGGCAGAGTTGCTGGCTGTCAAATGCCGCAAGAGCAAGGTACCACGGCGACAGACGGGGACGGTAACTGGGAACGGTACACGGTCAAAGTACAGACCGAAGGTGGCAGATACTGACTGAGGCAGGCTTTTTTTTTCTGCTCCTGCTCTTTCTCGGCTGGCCGTCGTGCTTTCCGTTCTTTCTCTCCAACGCCTGCGCAGGTGGGGCACCATGGGGATTCCGTAAGTGGCTGGTCTCCAATTCTCTGCCGTTTCCAGTTATCTGAATGGCTGGAAATGACTTTCAGACCCGCTTTATTCTTTTCCGGGCGGTCGGAAGAATGGAGGGCGACATCCGCGGGAAAGAGAGACTGCGCAGTGCCCGCGCCTGCTTCAATGTTCAGCCAGTGCAGCAGTTCTGTCGCTCGGGAAGGGAAGGAACCAAACGTGGGGCACCTTGCCTTTTTCGGTCTTAGCGTCTCTATTCTCTCTTCTTCGCGGTTGAGCCTCGGATCTGGACTCACAGTATCCCACGACGTCACGTGTCTCAATTCAATTGTCACTCGCTCATTCTCATCTTTAGTTTCTCAACTCACGTTGACCTCTCAATGAGTGCTCATATGTAGCCTCATGTGTTGATTTGAGGCTTCATCTCATCAGCAATCGTAGTCTCATACGGGCGTTTTCGGTCAACGTCGGCTATCTCACATCTTAATGAGCCGCGCCTGCCCATCCTTTCCGGAGAAATCCCCGCCAGCCCACCTCTCCACTCCTTTTGTGAGACCGCCAAGTCGGTCTTGGGCCTCCCTGGCCGTATCTGCGATGTTGCGACTTCATTCGGCCGAGCGCGATCTTTACTCATTACAACACGGATACCAGCAGAATGAAACCCGCAGTTGTTATCTCGACAAGATCAATTTCAGCTTACAATATGATTCAATTTCGTCAAAATCAGGAAAAAGACCTAGTGTTTGGCCAGCATTCTCAGTCAAAGATTGCTGTGGCTGCGAAATCGCGGAGATATCCTCCCCAAAACATCACAACGGCTAGCCCAGCCAGCCTTTACATTGCCAATGAATGTGGTGAGTCCGTACGAGAGAAGCGAGTACGGCCCTGTCCCGACAGCTTAATCAAGAATGTCGATGCCATTGTAACCAGATGCTTCGACTCCCCACTCGAAACAGTCTGCAAACAAGCGTCCGCCATCGCTTTTGCCCAGGGGAGCTCCACCTATGATTCATCTCAGAATCAGCCAATGTGCCGTCTTCGCTATCCTGGACGCAGAGGGTACTTACAGTCCATATTCTCGATAGATAAGATGCGCTGCTGGCACAGCGCCTCGTTGAGCCCGCCTACTTTATCCTCAATGATGTCTTGAACGGTCTTGCCCGCAGGACAAGCAATGGTATTGTTCCTCGGCTTGATCCAGAAGTGAATCATGCCGACATCGTACAGCCTGGTATTGTTCACCGCATCGTCGACCTGGCGGTTATAACTCGTGAAATAGTGTCCGTCCTTTCCACGTGAAACGTCCTTGACGAACTGATCGGCTCCTCGCTGTCGGATCGTCTTGATGGACTGTTCACAGAAATCCTTGACAATTGCTTTCACGGGCAGGTATGTCGGCCGGTAATCCTTGGTGTTCCAGCATTCTCCTCTTCCGTTTTCCAGTACCCCTTGTTGCTGGTATTGATACTCGAACTTTGCGATTCCGCAGCCCTCGTAGTTCATGTTAATCTTTTCATGCATCCAGAACTCATCGCCGCGGCCTATCGAGATACCGTCAGTATTGCTCATCTAGGCGATGGCATGAGGCCGTAGTAGGACGTAAAGTAAGCTGATGGGGGCAGATTCACTTACACGAACCCGCGTTGCGCAAGGTGCTGAAGACTTGCACGCAGCTTCCTTGACAATCCTCACCCGTCTGTACCCAGTCGAAGGTGACTTTTCTAGCTCTGTCTATTTTGGCTTGATTGCCACCGAAGACGCCAGTCCATGGCCCGTCCGTCCAGGCTCCTCCCATCTTGGTTATTGTGCGGCACATCGTGTTGAGTAAACTGCGACGTATCTGCTTCAGTATGCTCAATGAGCATTATGATCATGGGACAGGGTATCTTACGGCCACCAATTATAATAATAGACTTGCCACTTTTCGGGGCAGGTGATGTTGTAGACGGGAGCGTCATCCAAGTCTGAGAGCGAGATATCGTCCATTCCATTCATTCCCACTACACCAGTAATGCTGTTCTCTTCGTAGTAGGCGTCGACGTCCTCTTGAGTGAGGATGAAAGTCTTCGTCGGAGCTGCGGGCTTTACGGCTTCGGGGAGATCGACATCGACAACGTTCGTTGGAGAAGCCTGGGCGATACCGAGCACAGCGGCGAGCACCCAGGGTAGGCTCAAGATGGCCAGCATTATGGGTGAGATCAAGATCCTGTGTAATGAGAGATGGGCGTGATGAGGAGTGCGATGCTTCAAAGCCAGAGCGGAAATCTTTGGATGATCAAGTACTTGATGATGATTATCTGGCGACTGCGATGAATTCGAATGATTGAATAGTTGAAGAGAAGAGGTCATAAGAAAGTTGGTCTTGTCATTGCCCCTTTTATCGTCGGCCGTATCGTCTCGAAAACACCAGCAACGCTTCAGTATCGCCAATCATCGTCAATCATTGGGTACTCGGGAGATATAGTCCCTGATGATCTGTGTCACTACAAAAACGCTGGACACGATAATGAAGTTCCTCGAGGTGGTAAGAGCGAAAATTTTCAAACACGATGTCATCTTTTGCCTCTGTAAAGCTTGTCCCACCATCGAAAGAGAACCCAATAGGGATGCACGCCTTTCGTTCCGTGCCGTTGCAGTGTGACCGCAAACAAGGCCCTCGTCTAGAGCTCAAGACATCTCATCTCCCGGTCAAACTTGAGATTGCAGTCACAACCCCTGATGACACGAATTTTGATGATATTCAGGCTACATCAAAGCAAACAAATGGTGTTCATCTGGCCTAGGATGGCCAACACACAGCCACATCAGGAGGCACAGCATGGCACTGCATACCATGAGTCCATGATTGCCACCCAATATTTGGGAAGCCATCTCCCGTGACCTAAATTATTCAGATCACCGAGTCAGTGCCAGGTACGGAACTGAAGGCCGCTCGGGGTTCTCGAGCCGGGCCGTCACAGCTCATGCCCGGAGCCCGACTGGATAACTACACAGATATAGTTCCAGCTCCAAGGTTCTTTCTCTAGTTCCAGACTCATGGTATTTTCAGCTCGCACGTAGTTTACTATGACATCAAATGAGCTTAAGGCCATACACCTTGGGATGAGATTCCACTAAAGTGATGCTATTGCCTAAAGATTGCACGAAGCGTGAAAGAGCAACATTCCGACGAAGTCGTCATACATTGTACAATGAATGCCTCCGCAATCACCGAGAATGAGACACGCCAAGTTGTAGTTTGACATCGTAATGGCAGTGTTGCGGACATTATGCCAAAGCGGCATGGTCATCGTGATATCAGGCAACCATTTCCCACGATCTCACGTTTGTCTCACGCCGCGATATCCTGAGAACCTCAAGAGGACGAGTCGGAAGTGGTCCAATGCCTTTTCTCGCTGACTTCCTTGGCTCAAGAATGACTATTTTTAGGCGCCCGTAAAAGGGAACAGCAGACTTTGAGCAACTATCGTGGCATTCACCACAACTTCTTAGGTGACATGTGACCTCGATCAAGAGCACCAAAGCACTTAGCCGCATCTGTGTATCTGGCAAAAGGCACCGCGGAAATCTCTTCACGGTTCCGATCTAAGATGTGTGGTCTGTTGTGTCCGAGGCGACTGTCCTCGTCCCGGATACCCGCAGGAATCTATTTCGTCACCGCCACACTCTGAACATTGAAATCCCCGGGCTTTTCTCCGCCGAGTAACACCAAGCATTTTCTACCGGTAAAGCGAGTCTACATAGTACCACTTGGCTTTATTATCTCTGAGCTCTCGTTGATGTCAAACTTCAAAGGTGAGGCTGTAGAGATTACCTAGATATTCAAACCCCCATGCGACAGTTGCAAAGGAAAGCCTGGAAGTACGCTTGCGTTCTACCAAGTGCAGATGGAATGAAAACATTGAGATCAGGTGCCAGGTTAACCGGTGAGCGATATGGGCAATTTGATGCAGATGTTAATTAGCTCGGCAATAGCTTGTCGAGTAGATTCCAGGCTGTACCGTAAAAGAGCCTGCTACATTAACATCACGATCGACAACATAAAAGGCAAGGTCACCAGGCTATCATCGAATTATAAGTACGGTGCTATTTCTGGAGCGTCCTTTAATGAGTCGAATTACGGCAATCATGAAGTTGAACCCGAGACCTATGAGTCCAGTGGTACCCAGACAGCGTCAAACGTGGTCAGACATCATCAACTTGAAAGCTATGACGGTCAGGGTTGACTTCGACTGGCTTCCACCTTTGGGGACTTGTGTTACGCGATGTAGTGGCCAGCCAGGCCAGGAGTCATGGTCGTGACTCCCTTCCCCTTGGGCTAGCTGTTCTCAAGTTCCTTCACACCGCACTGAGTGGTGGCGCAGCCATGCTTACATTTTGCCGAAACTTTCCATTTTTCCAAATCGTCTACTATGATTGCGTTGTTGCATAGTCACTCAAGAATACTGCAAGGATGAAGTTCTCGTTCCAATACAACTTATACCTCATGATCGTTAGATGTTGGAGTCTCAGTCAATGCATGGTGAGATGTATTGGATTTTCATAGTATCGTTACGACTCCTCATGGTCTATGGTTTATTATGAATCCAGCAATTAAGTTTCAAAAGCACGTATGCTACGTGCTCGAGACGACCATCGAGAGCGTGGACCAGCCCTTCGCCACGCTGTCAAAGTAACATCAAATAGCTCTAAAATCAATGCCATGCCATTTAAACAAATATCCACACTCCCCAAGCGCTTCAGAAAGAATCACTGTTTCTGCGCAATGATTCTATAACTCGTCGTCACCAACCGCATGGTGTCCATCTTGACAAAGGCCTGCCCATCCAGACAAAGCCGGTTGATGAGGGTCTTGAAGTGGGGCGGCAGCAAGTGCACCTTGACCAGACCAAGAATAACCTGTCGCAAACTGCGAAAGTACACGTCGGCCTTGTCGATGAGTGGCGCCTGTAGCCCATCTATGCTCGCGTTGTCCGACTTCAAAATGGCGAAACCAGCATCTTTCAAGGCTTTTTCGAAAGTTTCGGGCGTCGGTGTCCCCACAGCTCCGATCAGTGGCTTTGTCCGCCGCATCAACTCCGCGTGCTCCGGGTTCGTCGCATCGTACGCCGGGAGACTAACCCAATCCAGCAACGAAATCTTGGCGCCGGGCTTCAGGACGCGGCGCAGCTCGCTGAATAGTTTCGGGAGGTCTTTGCACAGGCTAAGTGCCTGGATCTGGTAGAATGCGTCAAAAGAGTTGTCCTTGAAGGGCAGCGGCAGCTCGTTCATGTCCTGAATCGTGAAGCTGTTTTCCAGACCCATCTGCTCGGTGAAGTCCCTGGCCTGGGCGATCTGGTTCGGGTCAATGTTTAGACCGGTGACCACGGCGCCGGTGACAGCCGCCATGTGGGCCGCGACTCTTCCGCGGCCGCATCCAAGGTCCAGGACCCTGTCTCCCGGTTTCAGACCAACATCCTGGGCGATCGACTCCTCGTACAGCATCTGATTATCGAGAACGGACGCCTTCTTGTCCATCAAGGGAGGGATGTACATCTTCTCCACGTCGCCCAGCGCGCAAAGGTGATTCAGGACTCCATAGTAAGCTTGCAAACAGTCGCCGACTTTGGTCTTGTAATCCGGGCCGAGCGTCTTAACCATCTGCTCCTCATCTGCCCAGTCAAGGCTGTAAATGACATAAGATGCCATGAAATCGTCAACTTGTTTTGGCGTCAAGTCGAGGAGGTACTTGAATGATTTCCAGAACGTCTTGGACCGCTTAGGCGATGCTGTGCGGTTGATTTCATGTTTTGCGCTGTTATTGCTGTGGTCGCTATTGCTGCGGCCAAGATGCAGGCCATGCTTCTTCTTCCATGATGCCTGACCGGCGGGCTTCAATGTTGAGACGTCATCTGAGGTCTCGCTGGGACGGGGACTCGTATCACCGATGTGAGGTATTGTTGTCGCCGATGGCGGTTGCGCAATCGCTGCCGCTGCTGACATGACTGCTAGTGGAATGGCAGATGACGTGCGGCTGTAGGGAATTCAGGGGGCTTGTGGTTCTGTCCGCAGGTGAGAGGTAAGACGACCAACAGAAGAGAGAAAATCAAGAGAGGCAGGAAGGCAAGCAAGCTGGGTATCACAGTGTGCATCCAAGAAATGATGGAGAGGCGAAGGGGGACAGGTGATGGGCGGCCCAAAGTCCTTTATACATAGTACTCTCATTTCTTTACTCGTCTGTTTGGCATTCGATCAATCATCAATGACCGAATGGCAAACTAACCAGTCAAAGAACGGAGAAAGATCTGACGGAGCCGCAAACCGGATTGCTTTCTAATCTCTCGTGACGCTGCTCGGGATGGACGGAGGTATGTCCGAAGATTCCGACTGGGTCCAACCATCACCAGACCACTTAAAGAGGACGGGAGCTCCAGCGCTGGGGCTAGCAGCCAGCCCATCATCAGCTAATAACACAAGGGGCCGGAAACAGCAGCGCCTTGGAAAGCTCCGAGCACATCAAAATAGAGGGAGATGCAAAGGAAAACCCGCGGGCAGCGGACACAGCGGACGGACTTGACTCCTGGCTTACGCGCTGAGTCACCTCCGGGGCCACCTGATAGTTCGATAAAGAATTTGTCCTGCGGTGCGGCGTGTGTGACTGTAAAGGTCCTGTCCGTGTCTAGACTCTACCGCATCGCAACAACGTCCGCTGTTGCATCGCATTCTGCGCCTCTCTCATCTTTGCCCTTGTCCATTGGCTCCTCTGTCCCGCTGTTTTCCATTCGTTGCGTGTGTATATTTGTTGCATTTCGACGTCATTGTGGCGCTCTCTGCATGGCCTCCAAAATTTTGTTGTTTTTTTTACCGGCTTACTCCCGGTGGATTATTATCAAAGCCCGATTCCTCCCTGCTTAGTCCCAGTTTAAACCACTTTATTAAGCACGGTCGGCATGGCACGCGGATCCCGCGTTCGTCGCGATAGGGCTGATGTGGCTGGAGCTGTGTGGTTAAAGCGGACATGAAGCGCCGGTGAAAGGGCGAGGGCGCCAGAGGTCATTGCGTCCGCTTGTGTTTCGCCATGTGTGGCTCAGCTGTTTCTCCGAAGTGTGGTTACGTCGTGGACTCATCACCAGCGGAGAGATGTGATAAGTGTGTGAGCTGTCAATACGGTGAAACTGCTCCATGGATCAGAGAGGACAGACTATTCAAGATTGATTAAGCTACAACATGTCATATTCTGCCACACTCGCCATCCAACCGTCGTCATTTTTGTCTTTTGAACTACAAATAGCCTCAGCTTGGTATCAGGCACTGCCTTGCTCTCATAGTCGAAATGCGGCCTGGACCGGTCCGCATATTGCTTAGCCCATAGGTTTATTCAAAGTATGCCTTGTTATTCTCAGGGCTTACCTTGTCCCATACGTTTGGTTGCCAGATGCTTAGGCAGACTTGTTGACTTGCTAGGGACTTTGGCGGCGGCCTCTTGTTTTCATGCGGTCGTCCGTACCAGGAGTGGCGTGGCCTGTCTCATTTCTAATTGTTGGAGTCCAAGCTCAAAGTCAACCCAGCTCACCGCCTGTAAAGATCGGTTGGGAAAACCAATCATGGCTATCGACGGTACTCGACTTCGGTTCGCCACTTTACTTTGATACCTACCGTGGAAACTCGTCCAACTCGTATTTGCGCTAGCCCGTGTACTTGATGATTTAAGCCTCTCTTAGTATCAAAAACTTGCTGATATCCGCCACTGATTGAGATTTATAGTCTGAATCGAGGTAAGTATTGGCCGAAAGCTATCTAAGATAGCGGGAGCACGGCCTAGCGTAAATACGAGCTGGACGAGTTTCTACGGTACCTTAGTCTACATTGATTGCATGCGATTGTTCATACGGGTGCTGTAGGAACATGCAAACAAGATATTCATACAAGAACTAACGGGTGACCCATGTCTTAAATCGAGGACTCATTCCGCGTGTCGATGGTACGACAAGGTGGCTAGGTCACGGACTAACACATCTCCTGACGGAATAGAGCATGCTCTTTTGGCTGTTATGCCTTGATACAACGCTTGCCTCAATATGCATCATTTGCCTTTGGATAACTCGCTGCGAAAAAAACACGCTTATCCTTCTTTGCCATTCTCGAGTGACTCACTCAGTTCTTATTTCGCATATCAACATAATGCTCTGATTGTTCCGCCGTCTGTAAAATTTCAGAGACTGGTCCTCATGAAAGGCCGCCACATTTCTGCCGAAGAGTCTTTCAATGCTTCTATTGAGCCTCAGAGAATCATCCTTGGAGTGACAAGCGGCTTTACAATGTTAACATACAGAGGGATCTATTCACCTTTGCTCGCCATCTGTAGATTGAGCCAAGATGAAGAAGTCCTCCTTCATTAGGACTCTTAAATCAGATGCTTTGAGCTCAGACGTATTGTAAAACATCATATCACTGTAAAGTTTGCTACATGACGTTGAGTTACGAAGTTGCTCTTCAAAATCTGCTCATGACCTGTTGAGATTTGCCACCACCCCCACCTGTCCAGGCCCAATGATTCGAATCGCGTTGGTATTGTGGTCGCATATGGATACTACTTGATCGATGAGATTAGTTAGTCGTTTTGCTAGAGGAACACCCAACTACCGTTCAAGGGCTCAAGTGTCTCTAACAAAATCAAACGTCCGTGTACTCATAGCAGGTATCAAGAAATGAGGCGTTTAGACAAACGTGATAGCAAAAGAAAAGAGCTTTTGCCTAGCTAACTACATTGACTAATTGGCCGCATTCACTGGCTAGTTTTTATCACAATCTTTTGCGAACCGCCATAAGAATGTTGGAACATTTGCTGGCTTTCCACACTAGACTACGTGAGTACATGTAGCAAAGCCAAAGCCGGACCAATGGTCGAAGGTGTTGAGTACATCGCCGCTGTCACGTCAATTATCTCAAGACTGCATTGAGCCTACATGTAATCACCTTTAGTTTTGAAATAAGTTGAGAGAAGAATTTCTGCAATAGTTGATACGACCAACGGCGTGCTGAGGAAATCACACGTCGGGACGATATTCTCCATGTTTCTCATATCTCTTTCTCCCATTTGCGTATCCAGTCCTGTCGAAAGAGTTAAGGTAAGACCTTGGATCCGGCCGTCTCGGATTCCTGTTCAGTTGAATAATCTGAAGCTCTATGGACATCCTTGGCCTCGTCCTCGATAATGCAAGCACGTGCTCCAGGTAAGGCCCGCAAAAGCCGACCACCATAAGCAAAGAGCACAACATTCCGAGCTCGGGAGCGCAGCTGGGCTGTCTCGCTAGCTCATCAAACAATGATTCGTGCACGAAGAGAGTTCTATTGGCAGCTTCGCCAGTTATCTGCAAGTGCTCCAGTCCTGGACAATGTTGACAGAATGCGATCAAAGATCTGTGTCCCAATTGGGTGGTAGCCCGCAATTTGGCAGAACGAAGATTAGGGCACGCCGCCGCCAGCCTCACGATAGTGTCGTCCGTCAAGTCTCTGGCGTGGTTATCGGGATGATACCCGTCGTCCAAGTGTAGTAATTCAATGTGCCACAGGTTACGGCAAATTTTGGGAAAAGAGATGAGGTCGTCGATGATTTCGCTGAGGACAATGGTAAGCAGATGCAACGCTACTGAGTTAAGCGGTGCCATGAGCAGAAAATCAAATCTGATTCCTTCTATAATCGAACTGGTCGAGGGTGAATTGGATATGCATCATGAGATATTAACTTACCGTGTCAGTTGCGTTTCGGTCCCGAGGATAATTTGTCTTGTCGAAGATCCCAGTCTGTTTAGTTGTTCCATTTCCCAACTCCGATTGCCTTGGAAAAGGATACCCTTAGTGCCCTTCTGAGTGCAGGAGGCTGGCTCGCTGGCACAACAACGATAGAAGAAGTAGCATTGTCGTCTATCTAGTCTAGGACAGCGATTGAGGGGCATCTGACAAATACCACGTTCAGTTATTGCTGCAGCTCTGCATTGAGAAGAATGTGGCAGAGAGAAATGATATGACATCCGTTCTGCCTTATTGTTCTGGTGACAGAGATTGCAACATGGCTCGTTGCTAGTAGCTAGTTGCCAGAGCCAGAAATAGTACAACGTTACGGCCCTGCAGAGTTGCCAGCGTACTATTACCGATTTAGCAGGGGGGAAGGGGGATCTAACAACAGATCTCGTCATTTTCCTACAGTGCCAGTTTCGACATGGGAAGCAGCAATGTTAGCAACAAATATATTGCGTTCTGACTGTCATCGCAATGCTGCATGAATTTAACTTCGACGCGAGAGTGAGACAGGTACTGATTTCTAGCGCTAATAGGGCTAGTATGACGGTGAAGTGTTTTCCGTTCGCTTTGTACACATGCTGAACACTGGCAACCGGCATTGGCAACGCGTCCGTCAGGACCTACTAAGTCCACTGACCAGCTATGGTGTTTTAAATATGAGATGACTTTGCGAAAAGGCGTGCAAGTACAGATGAAAATGGGCAAAGTTGAGCCCGAAGACGAGGGCTCCCTGCTATTACTCTTCGTTTCCGGCTCTAAGGCAAGTTCATTATCTTACAGTCGCTGCTGCCCTGATGTGAGGTGAGGTGTAGCTACCATCACTTAGGTTGCAGAACCTCTGTCTTTTTAAACAAGTGACATGTACACGCGCTTCGTATTGAACGGAGTTTCAGTTGGTGGCATTGATGCAAATCTTGGTCGTGAAAGCCGAGGCCTGGCTCGGTATTCATTTCAGCTGGTGCAACGCCTCGTAGCAGACATATTTTGACGCATGCCATTAACGAAATAATATTCACTGTGGGAGGGATTGTGCACGCTATCCCTATAGTCAGTTATTTGCAGGCGAGACCATTGACGGTGCAGTCCGAATGCTGCGGTTTCGATGTGCAACAGCTCCTAATCACTGAAACAAGGTATCCTTGACCCTAGTAACAAAGCTAATTCGAGCTTCACGAGCTTCTTTGAGTTTCATATGGACGGTCCAATGAAACTACTGGAAACTCCATGTCAGGCGGATCATAGCATGTCATCTTAACGGCGATCAGACTGACCTAGAACATTGCATAGATCCTCCGAACCCCACAAGGCGACTACGTGACGGGACAGCGTGTCAGACAGGTGAAAGGAAGCCTTTTACGATACCGAATACGTAAAATAGGGCTATGTATCCCGTTGACAGCGATCACGCCGAGAAAAAATGGGATGACAGACTAAGATTTCCTGAATCATGCCCTGAGTCGATCTCGGATTTGCAAAGATTCTGGAGCATTGGGATGGTACGAGAATTTCAAGAACCCACCAAAGAACAAGCCTGGATCGGCCACTGGATATAAATTTGGCCATAACTTCCCTCGTATCCAAAGAACATATCTCATTCATCCATCAATTGGACTTAGTTCATGTTATTCTCATCTTGTCTGGTACAGAATCGCAGAGCCATATTTCGTACCATCTATCTCGTTAGCATCTATTCGATCATCTGTTATCAAATACCACTCATCTCATCTACGTCTCTTCATGCCTCAAAATGCGGCTGATTACTCTGACAGCTTGCCTGACGCTTCTAGCGAGCTCGGTATTGGCCCGTAAGTACTTCGCCTCCTATCCGTAGTGAGGGTCGACTTTGGTGTCCTCATTCACTGGAGCAAAGGAACCGGCTATCACTTGGTGACCGACTTGCTCGAATTGACTCCCGTGCCCGATGGGATATGATTGAACTGTGTAGATGGGGGTTGAACTAAGCCAAAACTAATGAAACTTCTAGAAAGTTGTAATAACGGCCGGGGGTTTTGCAAAGGCGGACGATGCGAGCCTAATAACGACCCGAGCGGCGCTGGCCCATTTGCCGGTAACTTCAAGGAATGTCAGACCGGAAACGGACGATCTCAAGTCGACGACTTCATCTTGGGAGGTGGTAACCAGGATGCTGAAGTCAATGCTGGCGCTGCTTGTAACAATGGTAGAGGAACCTGCAGCACTCGCGGTGCTTGCGAACCTAACAACGACCCTAGTGGTGCTGGACCATTTGTGGGAACTTTTGAGGAGTGCTTCAGTTAGAGATGCTAACTTCTTCCCTCAATACAAGCCATCTTTCAATTGTTTGGCATAATGGCCCTTGCCAACAACCACAGCCCCAAGCGAGACGGATGTGACAATGTATTGCCAGTCTTCCTGGTGGACGGCGGAGTTTATATTATATCCTAAGTCCGGCTCCTAATCAGGGGCAGAGGAGCTTATTCAGGACCAATCATCGATTTCAATGCCCTTGCATGATTGACCACAGCTCAAGCTTAGTTTAAGTGCTAATTCCGAATCACCAATGCTCTGATGGTCAGCAAGCTGCACCAGATGGTGGGCTAAAAGAGGTAGGCCAGTGATCAGCGCAGTGCGGGGTAGCTCTTCGCTTCTCGGTTCCATCACCGACCCGCGCTGTGACCGCTCCAAAGTATGTCGCGATCGGGCTTGATGACGTTTGTGCCGGCAACGTAGCTATTTAGACCATCTCTCTGCCCTTCACAACCTTCTACAAATTTTCAATTGAACAATTGCCTGCCAGCCGGTCTCAGCAGATCATATTCACCCGTACAACGACTTACTCATCAAAAGTTCAGCACAACTCGCAGCAATGGCATCTAAGGGGCTCCCAGCACGCCTGAGGGAAAGTATCGAGAGCACCAAGGTCGAGTACCGCCAGCTCGGAAAGTCCGGATTGCGTGTCTCAGTTCCCATTTTTGGCTGTATGAGTTTTGGAGACTCTCAGTCCATCGACTGGGCTCTGAATGAGGATGAGGTATACTGAACGCTTACGCGATGATCATCGACCAGCGTGGCTAAGAAACATAACATGTAGGCACTTCCGCTTCTGAAGGCGGCTTACGATCGGGGATTGAATACTTGGGATACCGCCAACGCATACTCGAATGGCGCATCCGAGCGGACGATTGCCAAGGCCCTGAAGAAATACAACATTCCCCGCGAGAAGGTGGTCATTTTGACCAAGTGTTTCTTTGCTGTTGGTGAAGAGCCTGGTATGTGACTCGGTACTTGATGCTGTGACAATCATGGTCGCATCGCTGACGAATTTCTCACTTTGTAGAGACTCGTCACTTCAACTACCGCGAGGAAATCAACAAATCGAAGGACTACCAAAACCAATGGGGTTTGTCTAGAGCTTCTATCTTCAACCAGGTGGAGGCGTCTTTGAAGAGACTGGACACTCCGTACATCGATCTTCTCCAGATCCACAGATTTGACCCCAGAACACCCGTAGAAGAGACGATGAAGGCGCTGCACGACTTGGTGCAGACGGGGAAGGTTCGGTATATCGGTGCCAGCAGCATGTGGGGTACTCAATTTGCCCAGATGCAGTTCACCGCTGAGAAGAATGGTTGGACGAAGTTCGTGAGCATGCAAAATCAATACAATCTATTGTATCGCGAAGAAGAAAGGGAGATGAACCGATTCTGTAACGATACTGGAGTCGGACTCATTCCGTGGGCTCCTCTCTGTAAGTCAATGGCCCTCACATTCATGTTCGGCTCACGCTAATGGGTGACATCAACTAGGCCGTGGTCACCTAGCCCGACCACCAAAGGACTTTGGCTCCACCTCTCGCAGCAAGACCGAGAAGGAGGGTCAGCCCGGAAGCCATGGAACGGTGGAGCCGGACCTGACCATCATCAAGCGAGTGCAGGAGATTGCGGAGAAGCGGGACTGGCCCATGTCCCATGTGGCTCTTGCATGGATCAACAAACGAATTACGAGCCCCATTATCGGCTTCAGTAGCGTCGAGAGAATCGACCAAGCAATCACTGCTGACGGCAAGGTCCTAACCGATGAGGAGGAGAAGTACCTTGAAGAACTGTATCAACCCAAGGCCATCTCGGGACATGCCTAAGTCGGCCGCGCAGGGAAGGATCTAGATAACCTTTCAATAGTAATGAAGGTAGAGCCAATCAGATCTTTCTTTTAGCCTCCTCCAAATGATTCTGTGTGGCATCAAGAGTACACAAGTTAGCCAGCATCTCCCCGGAAGCTGGCAATGATTGACGCTTCCAAGACGTTGACGAAGCTTCGCTTCAGCTATCAGCGCTCCCCGATATTTGTCTCCCAGTACTACTTGAATTACGGTGCCGAACACGAATTCGGAAGTATGATGATTCGGATCCTAGATTGGCTGAAGCGGTTTTCGTCTGATCTCCCTCAAATCCTCGTAACACGGACCGTCGCAGAACATGAGTTTTTGCCTGATTCGGCGACGATGCCCTAAATAACACTATCTCCAATGTAGCCGATGCAGCCAATTCAGGCCGATTTCAGCTCTTGTGGTCCCCCCCTCGTCTACATTACACTACTCATTCATCCAAGGTCGTATCCCAAGTCGCAGCCATCTGATAGCATAATCGCGTGACACCTGCCGACCCATCATATATGATCTCGCTGCCGAGGGTGGAGACAAACGTGCTTCTACCCATGGGATCGAGTTGCAGGGAGAGCCCCTTGTTGAAGTTCTTGAGAGGTTCAACGAGCAGCCTCCTATCTTGGAATGCTGTCAAATTTTAGAAACACTTCCGTTTTGGGCCATGCGATGCGAAGAATAACCTACAGTATCCGCCACATCGCTACCTCCCGCGCGGCGCTACCTGGTTCATCTGGAATTAAGCTCATTGGACAAACCAAGACGGCAGCGATGGAATCTTGGTTCATCGATCGTAATGAAGTCATTGCCTTTCCATCCATTCCGAAGACAAGCTCCAGGCGTAATGACCATCGCGCCATATATCGACCCCAATCCGCCGCC